CCAATACGTCCAAACATCGTGCCATTGTTGTCCATTTGTTGTTTCTCCATTACTGACATGAATATCGTTATATCTGGAAATCGCATGAAATTGGTAGTCAATGTAATTACTCTATGGCCCAGTCTCTATAATGCTTCATAATCTCTTCTACAATGCGATTTTCATAGCCTTGAACTATGAAGGTTCTTCAAGAATTTTGCTTTTAGAGACATGTAGAGTCCCGATAATTCAAAATGTCAAAGGGATCATTTTTTTCGATTTACCCAGAATTCAAATTATCGAGAATTATTGAGATCGAATTTCTTTTAAGGGGATAGAACTTATTTTAATTTATCGCGATTTTCGATTTAATGGGGTACAAATTATCGAGAATCGACTGTATATTCTTGATCAGCATCAGATGCTAAGCAAGTTGTATGGTAATTGGAGCTCTTCAATGCAGAGCCGTTGTTGTTTTTTGTAGCATTTTTTATCTAATTTGGCAAAAGTAAAACATGGCTAAAGCCAGTGATAATATATAGACGTGTTTACTAGAAAGTCTCACAAATTGCGACTAACTTCAACAATGAGATGAGCTCGATTCAGAGAGAAGTTTAGAGTCTTAGTAGTCTTTCGGAGAAGACCATAATAATCATTATTATAATGAATGAATAACAACTACTCTTAGTGTGGGACGAAGGTATTGCTCTCCCACTACGGATTCATCATCCACTTTGCCGTGCTCCTAGTTCCATTCTCTGGGCAGATTCTATTCCCTTTCCGGTAAAATGGTTCATCGATGACCTGCGAGTCGATTGCGTCTTCCGCAAAGCTCTATGAACGGAAGAATTATATGAGATTGTCCAGACTGGGATGGATCAATATATGTAGATGCAGCACTTGGAAGAGTTTTTTGCAGTCTTTTATCTTGTGACACCTAAGGCAGATGCCTAAGCTATTTCATTGTGGTCTTGGGCCATTTGGCCCATATCAAAACTTTGATAATATCTGCCAATCTTTTGATCCATTTAAATTCTAGGTCTGTCTTTATATAATTTATTTATGATAATGACTATAACAATGAATTTGTTTCACTGGTTTGGGAACCTCTTCTATTCACTTTCGGCTGAATATATCCGATAATGACAATGACAATAAAATAACTATACTGTAATAATAATGATAACATTATAATTCTAATCCATTAACAATAAAATAATTTCATCAGAATTATTATGATAATAATGAAAATTCTTTGCCTAGCAATCTATCGTTGTATTAAAAGCTTTCAATCGCTGCAACTTCATAATGGCTCATTTGCAAACATTTTCCTATCCATATTCACATGCATATTCATTAATATTTATGTACATGTTTTTCGATTTCACAATTTGTGTCTATTTTGTGTTCATAATTGATTTCGCTTGAATCGCAATTGCATATCGTTTTGCTCGCTGTGCTCGTTCATAAAAAAGGCCAGACTAGAGCACACGATATATGTACATATATACACATATATACCTCTATTTACAAGTGTGCGTGTGTGTGTAGTTATGAAATATTAGTTTGCCATTGCAGTTGACTTGCATTCGCTTGTTGTTTTATCCTTGTGCACGGACTCTGAACCCCAAATGCAGCCACACAATGGGGCGGCCAGAAAAAGTACAATAACCTTTTTGGCACCCAGCGTGAGGGTGTGCGCCACCAAGGGTGCTAGCTGGGCTGCGGGTGGGGGTAGTTAGGGTCGTAGTGCTCTTTTATTTATATTGTATGTATACCCATTGAACGGGCCTATGTTAAGGGTATATTAGTTGGTTTGGCAAAGAATAAATGTTTAAAATTAAGAGGGATTGTCGAGATAATAATATATCTCAAAAGAAACTTTCTATGTTCCTATATTCTACTGAGAACCAATAAATATCGAAGATTTAGAAAAATTCTATTATGTGGTTTGAATTCCAGAATCATTTTTCATATTGATTGAAGTTTCTTATGAACTCCTCGTAGAGCCAACACTCTAAAGAGTATTTCCTGTTCGATCAATACTCGCTTTAGCTGTTCTCTCATGCAATTCGTTTTTATACCCATTCAAAGTGGGAAATCAGGGTATATTGGTTTTGTTGAAATGTATGTAACATGCT